AATTTCACTCTTTGGGGAGTCGTGTTCAGACCTCTCTGGTTTCCTTTCGAGTCTTATACTCTCCATAGTGAAATTGTGATCCCGGACGAGCTAATACTGACGTTTTTAAGTATTAGAGCTAATTAACCCCAGTTATTAACTATAGTGCTCAATAAATTGTTTGGTAATAGGTAAATGAACTTTTTGTAGTTAAATAACCCTCTTTATCTTAACTTGTCATACAATCTAAATTGTCAACTAATGGACTATGAAATTTCATATAAAGTTGACCTTTTGGTTCTGTTTTTTTACGTTAAAATTTTTTTTTTTTTTTTTTTTGCAAAATACGAAGCTAATGCATCACCAAAAGCATAGCAACGTTCGGTATTAGCATCAAGGTTAAATTTTATGCTAAATTAACTCGTTGGGATGGAAATGTGTGAATAACTCAAACAACCTACAATAACTCCACTCTCCTTGACTCCTCAAGGATAAGACAGACGAATGGTCCCTCCTACAACCACGTTTGGTGTCAGGACAGGAAATAGTGCAGGTGAGTGAGGAGGTGGACAAGGAGGAGTTATGTCGATCCTAGTAAAAGGAGGGCAATCTCAGCTCCGTTTGAGACTGAAGTCACAAGAGAAATGTCACAGGAAGTTCACATTCCGTGAAAACACAATAACAAATTAACGTCAAATACGATTTTGACTTAAAGGAACACTACGAAAAGTCAGGATCTAACTGAATTACGTCGCAAGGTTGTCATAGCAATTGAGTAATTTTTTTCCTCTAACGCCGTAATCTGAGCAGAAGTATAATTATTGAGGAATTATAGTCTTTCGAATATGTCACGGAAACAAATGTCGCAGATCAGTTGTGGAGGTTAATAAACTAGCAATTTAGTAGGCATTTTCAATAAAAACATCATATCTTAATATAAGATAGGGAACAATTCAAGTTTATTGAAAATTAACTTATATTTACACACACACAACACACACACACACCACACACACCACACCACACACACACACACACACACACACCGGTACACACACACACACGACACACACACACACACACACACACACACACACCACACACACACACACACACACACACACACACACACACACCACACACACACACACACACACACACACACAACCACACACACACACACACACACACTCGTAGTATACAACACACACAAACCTAGGTTTCAGGGCGTCAACTGTACACCGTCTATAGTAAATCGAGTTTCTCACTCTAGTCCTGCGAGTACAGTAGTTCACTGGTGGTGTGTGTGTGTGTGTGTGTGTGTGTGTGTGTGTGTGTGTGTGTGTGTGTGTGTGTTCTGGATCCAAGTCCACGCAGTTTGACATGTGGCAGATATACATTTAGCTCAAAGAGAGTCAGACGCTCTGTCATCAAGTGACCGCTCGACAGACAGAAGGACTAGTATGCATTCCTATGTTTTCCAGAGCTTTTCAAATATAAAAACATGTAGTTTGCCATTCTTCATGCATCTACTGCCGACAAAACGATAACAAACAAAGGATCAATCAAAAGAAGAAGCATGATCTATTGCCATATTTGTTTATCCAACAACAACTTCTCTGAATAAACTCTGATCTACCAGCTAGCAGGTACTAGCAATACAAGATTTAAATGCTTGAAACAATAACTGTTTAAAGAGTTCCTATTTTAGGGTTCTCCCTCTCCTGTAGTGTGTTTTATGTGCATGTAAATGTTCTGCAAAAGGCTAAAATCCCAACGTTTCTGAATATGGTCACATCACTATGTGACACTCGCGCTCCTATTGAGTTTTTACCAAAAAGTTCTATTTTGGTTTCATCTGACCATATGACATTCTCCCAATCCTCTTCTGGATCATCTAAATGCTCTCTGGCAAACTTCAGACGGGCTTGGACATGTACTGGCTTAAGCATGGGGACACGTCTGGCACTGCAGGATTTGAGTCCCTGGCGGCGTAGTGTGTTACTGATGGTAGCCTTTGTTACTTTGGTCCCAGCTCTCTGCAGGTCATTGACTAGGTCCCCCCGTGTGGTTCTGGGATTTTTGCTCACCGTTCTTGTGATCATTTTGACCCCACGGGGTGAGATCTTGCGTGGAGCCCCAGATCGAGGGAGATTATCAGTGGTCTTGTATGTCTTCCATTTTCTAATAATTGCTCCCACAGTTGATTTCTTCACGCCAAGCTGCTTACCTATTGCAGATTCAGTCTTCCCAGCCTGGTGCAGGTCTACAATTTTGTTTCTGTTGTCCTTTGACAGCTCTTTGGTCTTGGCCATAGTGGAGTTTGGAGTGTGACTGTTTGAGGTTGTGGACAGGTGTCTTTTATACTGATAACGAGTTCAAACAGGTGCCATTAATACAGTTAACAAGTGGAGGACAGAGGAGGCTCTTAAAGAAGAAGTTACAGGTCTGTGAGAGCCAGAAATCTTTTTTGTTTGTTATTGACCAAATACTTTAAAAACCAGACAATGTGATTTTCTGGATTTTTTTTTCTCATTTTGTCTCTCATAGTTGAGGTATACAGTACCTAGGATGAAAATTAAAGGCGTCTCTCATCTTTTTAAGTGGGAGAACTTGCACAATTGGTGGCTGACTAAATACTTTTTTGCCCCACTGTATGTCGCTTTCAAAAGCAATTACAGAGTACATTTCCTCAGCCTGATAGTTAAACAATTATTCAGCAGGAGTGTCAGAAAAAGAAAGTAGATGCATTAAGAGACACTTAATCAAGAATAGTAAACAACACGTACATATTTAAATGATTTCAGCTTTCAATTAGAATATTAGAGTACATTTATTTCCCTGCAGTTTGAGGTTTAAGAAAGCAGCTAAACAAAGAGAAATGAATAATCCCCTTTCTTCCCTCAAATGAACTCTTCACATTTTTCTATCTGATATCTCACATGAATATTCAGAGCCGTTGTGATGTTCAGTTCATTATTCATGGAGATAAATAATGCAACAATTGTCACAATGGGTCAGATCCACTGCAGAGCGATTTTAGGGGGAACATGAGGATTTCATACATCATGCATTTTTTATATAATGTATCTCTCTGTTTTTCGGTCTGCAATGAAAATGATCCTTTGACCTTTTTTGGTCGATGTGGAAGTTGAACAGCCTTCTGCAACGCTTCAAATGTGAAAGAGAGAAAGAGAGGAGCGACTTCAAAAGCAAAAATCTATTCATAATTAACAATGTCGAAAATTCAAGGAAAACCAAACACACTAAAAGGTCTGGCTGTGCTTGTCTTGGATAGTGAAGTCTGTGATGAATGAAAATAATTATGATTTTGGCTCATTTGTAACCACTCATGTATGAGTTAAAAAAAAAAATCCAGAAAACTAGGTCTAGAAACATTTGGATTCCGTGCAAAAAATCATGCTCTGTTTATTTTAAAAATATTTATTTTTTCTTATTTGTTTTCTCAGGTAAAGAGCCAACATGCTTCACAGTACACTTAAAGCTTTTTAAATGTCAAATGATTCAATAGTAGGAATTGTTTTAATAGTCTGGTTTGTTTTGCATTGGTGTGATACATGTACCAGAAGTCCATCCATGATTCATTAGTTGCACCTCAGAGCAGCATTTGGTTAAACCCATATGTTTCAATGTTATTTGTTTATTCTGTGCTAGGACTTTCCAAAGATGTGATATAAACTGAAGCCAAAGCACTCATGTCTGAAATATGTATTGACATCAACTGTTTCACAGTTTAAACCAATAAATATCAATGTTATTTGGATGCTTTGTTCCACTACTAAGCAAAGTTTGCCTCAGGGACACATAAATTCAAACTGTATTAAATGATCCATACACTGATATACTCAAGACCCATCAAAGGATAAAACCCTGGCATATATCACAATGACCAAACAGGAGAATCTATTACATCAGAAAATATGGTCTCCACTGTCATACATGATGGATGATGGATGAGCACTTCTTGGCAATAAAAAAATCTATGTTCATAACAAATGAAGCATCCTGCCAACCAGAGAGCCTTTTAAGTGATAAGCTGCATTCATTTCCCAAATGTTCTTCTATCTCGGTACAAAGCTGTGCACATCTGTTAAGCTGATTACAAAAACAGACCTGTCTCATGCATTCCTGTTTTGTCCTCCCCAGTCAACCTTTGGCATTGTTTATCTAAAGAATTATGAGCAGTGAAAGGAGCTATCGAGGGAAGAGATGCTTTTGATAAAAAAACAGATGGTGGAGCGTAATATTCTTGATGAATGTATGGTATATGAGTTATGTATAAGGGATTCATGCTGTTCATGGTGTTATGGGTGAAAGTGTAGGTCATCCTTCATTAAAGATCTGGGGGTTTAATCAACTTGAAATTCATTGGTCAGTAATGCGATAATTTAGTACTTTTGCAGAAGTATCTTCATCCACGAATCAAACTGCTTTAAATCTCACCTGTTATGCTATATTTTAACAATATATTATGGGCCATATCTATACAAAACATGTCTCTGAAGTGTTTTGCTCAAAATACCTGTAACGGAGGTGATCTCTGGGGCCATAGATCTCGGCCTCCGTTACGAATTGTATAGCTTTGTTGGTGGCGAAATGTATGTAGTGTGTGCATCTGTCTGTTTTAGTTTGTCTCTCTCTGTTTGCTGGTTTTATGTTAAAGTGTTCCCCTTCCCCCATGTCTGTTGCTGTTGATTGTGTGCACCTGGTGCCCTGTGTTGTCTCCTCCCCCCCCCCCACCTGTGTCTAATTGGTGATTAGTGTGTGTATTTAGGCCCTGTTGCCCTGTCTGTTTTGGGGAGAGGGAGTGTGTGAGAGATACTTGTGGCTGCAGGCTGTGTTCAGGGAGAAACAGCAGGATTGAGGCTGTGTGTCATGTGTTCATGATGTAATGAATGCCCACACCGGGTTGTATTTTGGACTTTCTGCCTCTGCCTCCTTGCTTGGTCGGGCCGCTCAATTGTCAGCTTCACAATTGGTGTCAGAAGTGGGATGGACCAAGTGAGAGTGATGGAGGAACTGAGGGAGATGATGAGATCACTCCTGCAGCTTCAGGCAGCCGGTGAGCAGCAGTTTGCATGGGTACAAGAACGGGAATCCATGATGGAAGAGGAGCGGAGACTCCGTAGGCAAGACGGCAGATTGGCTGGAGGCTCAACGGGCACTAACTCTGCCGCTGAGGCATCAAAGATCCTGGCGGAGAACCGGAGATTGGTGCAAGAGCGGAAAGAGGAGCAGCTCTGGTTACAGAGGGAGGAAGAGAGGAAGGTGAGAAAGGAAGAGGAGATGCGCTTAGCGGAGGAGGCTCGTCTGATAAAGGTGAGAAAGGAAGAGGAGATGCGCTTAGCGGAGGAGGCTCGTTTGATACGCCTGGAGGAGGAGAAGAAAATCAAAGACGAGGAAGAGGCTTTTCTAGCCGAGGAGGAGCGGGTGAAAAGGGCCGAAAAGATCCGTCATGAGAGAGAGCGCGCGTCGGGCAGCAGAACCAGCAGGAGCGCCTGGAGAAGAAGAAGAATCGGATCGCCAAAAGGAAGAAAGGGAAGCTTCCTTCTGACTTCACGCCCCCCCCCTGAGGAAACCATGCTGCACAAGGGGAAGCAGAAACCGTGCAGGGAAGCCAAGGTTTTTAAGACACTGCTTCCGGGGGAGAGGGGTGAGGAAAAGTAACGGAGGTGATCTCTGGGGCCATAGATCTCGGCCTCCGTTACGGATTGTGTAGCTTTTGTTTGGTGGCGAAATGTATGTAGTGTGTGCATCTGTATGTGTTTTTAGTTTGTCTGTCTCTGTTTGCTGGTTTTATGTTAAAGTGTTCCCCTTCCCCCATGTCTGTGGCTGTTTATTGTGTGCACCTGGTGCCCTGTGTTGTCTCCTCCCCCCCACCTGTGTCTAATTGCTGATTAGTGTGTATTTAGGCTCTGTTGCCCTGTCTGTTTTGGGGAGTGTGTGTGTGTGTGTGTGTGTGTGTGAGAGATCTTGTGGCTGCAAGCTGTGTTCAGGGAGAAACGGCAGGATTGAGGCTGTGTGTCATGTGTTCATGATGTAATAAATAACCACACCAGGTTGTATTTTGGACGTTCTGTCTCCTTGCTTGGTCGGCCCGCTCAATTGTCAGCTTCACAATGCCAAACAGATCACCCATTGTAGCCGTGCCTCATACCCCTCTATTTCAGCCCTGTTACTAAAGTGCTGATTCTGGCTCTTTAAATGTAACTGAGCTGCTGCTGGCCATGCCCCTCTGGAGTTTCGCATGCTCCAAAAGCTCTGTGAAGGGAAAAGTGTACCTGCAGAAACTCAGCTAAATGCTGCCATGAGCAAACGACATGTAATGTTCAAACATTTATTTCTGTAACAGTATGGAGCTCAAACGCTTTCTTTCTCTTTTGCGGGTTTACCACAAGGTGAGTACATTTTTTTCTTTTTTATATATCCGGCTTCTTTACACATACTCTCCAGTACAACATTAGCTCTAAGTGTTAGCGATGCTTGCTAATGTAAACACAGCACCATATTATTCCAAAACATGTTGCGCATTGTTTCTGATACAGCACATAGCTGGACATGTTCTTCATTCAGTGCTGCTAGAACAGTGCCATTATACTGTATGTAACAACTTTACTCTAAGTCCCTCTCGTAGACATCCTGCTGAATACACAGACACACAACTGCGGGAGGGGATTCAGCTAGCCGACATTATGTGGGGACGATAGGTTGTGACGTAGGTCAACATAAAGCCAGCTCACATTTAAGTAATGACTTCAAGACTGCAGCAAATCTGGATCAGCTCTGTTGTACCACTGTCTTTAGAGATGTGGGTAAGGAAGAAGAGAGAGGGTTGTATTTGGTGACACTTTGTGAGTCTCCTTACACACCGGGGATATTTATTTATAAAAGACATCAAAAAGTGCATTTTGCATGATAGGTGACCTTAAGAGAACAAAAAAAAAGTTTTTACTATTGAGTTTTTTACCATCTCGCACATATGCTGCAAAGAATCCTTTAACTTAAAGGGAACTTATCATGCAAAATGCACTTTTGTACGGCATTCATACATTAATGTGTGTCAGGTACCTCACCAAGTGTCATAAAACACAACCCTCTCTCTTTTCCTCCATACCCAAATCTCTAAAAACGGGGCTGCAACAGATCTGATAAAGACTGATACAGATTTGAAATATCTCTGACGTCAGAAACGAGGAGCTCCGCCTATATGGGCAACTCTCCACCTATCAGGAGGAGACAGCCACGGCCATTGCCGTTCGAAAGCGCTGGAAACGTTGTAGTACATATGCCAGGCCTGTAGGTGGCGCTGTAGTCTGCCACAAAAGCAGCGAAGAAGACTTCTCACAGATTCAGCCCTTGCAAAAACAGGCCTAAAAAAATGAGGCATGGCTAAAATGCATGATCTGTTTGGTATTTTGAAAAAAAAACTTTTCAGACATGTTTTTTATAGGTATGGCCCTACAATATATTATTCAAATATAGCATGATAGGTTCACTTTAAATTGCTCATCCCTATAAGACGAAATACAATGGTTTATGTTACCTTCATTCTTCTCATAAAAACATTCCAACAAACCACAACCACCCCTTAGCAGTTTTAACCTCCATGCCCTTAGCTCAGACCACTTTTATATCTGGCCAAATGTTGAGAGGACTCTGCGATACAGGGGCGGACTGGCCATTGGGAATACCGGGAGTTTTCCCGGTGGGCCGGTCGGACAATTCACTAGCACCTCCCGTTGACAATTGACTAGCGGTACCGAGTTGGGCCGGTCGGCCGGTCAAGATTCCCTGGCTGATTTTTAGTCCCAGTCCGCCCCTGCTGCGATACATAAAGAAAACCCTACCTCACATTTCCTATGTATAAACAAGCTTACAAGAATTCAACATTGGACAAGAAAATGTATATTGTAGCATTTAAGAATGATGCCAAAAGTAGAGAGGCGTATGAAATGATGGTAAAAATCTATAATCATCTTGGTCTACTACACACCAGCATAAAGCCACTTTGGCTCAGTGCTAAAGAGTCAAACAAGCTTCTTTAGACAACCCAAACAAAAGCTCCTCAGATCTTTGAATTGGAAATGTTCCAAAGCTCACTTTGCACACTTGTTGGATAATCTTGCTGTTTATTTGTCCTTTGATAACTTCAGGCACATGTTACGATCCGGCAGAGGAATGGACATGGTGGCAGGATACTGTAGGGAAGATCGACGTCATAGAGCAAACAATATTTTGAAAAATAAACTTTTCAAATGTTAATGAGTGATAAAACAACACATTTTGGCATGATTCACCTCCTTCTCTCAGCGCTTCTTTTCTTTATTTGCTACCCAACTTCACCCCCCTGAAGAAACCATGTGAGCTCACATGCCAAACACAGAGGCGGCAGGCACTGCAGAATGTTTGTGTTTATCTAACAGATTTACACTTTAATCTTTTCTACAAAATTTGAACCATTGAGTTGGATTGCGAACCGAATATGGTTTGAATTATGTTATACTGATTGCAATGTTTTGTTTCCATAAAAGAAACAGTATGTAGCCATACTGTTCTCATGCATTGCTGGGGTTTATGAAACAAAGCCTGCAAAATAGTCCAGCCAGTCCCATTTCAACCCATTGAAACTCTCATGTAACATACTGTTCTAAAAATATCACATTACAGAATACATTTACTGACAATGTATTTTCAATGTCCAATCTCAATGTTTTGAAAATCGTCTGTATAGTTTAGTTTCGGAAAAGATTGAGGTCACACCAAAATAACTTTGATGCAGCAGAACCAGAGACAGTGTCCAGGCATTATTGTTCCCTCTGCCAACAATACCCGCAATGCAACTCGACCACTGACAGTTTGTTTGAAGATCCAGGCATGGTACGCTGTAGTTGTGGCTAATGTAGACTCAAGCAGCTGGCCTCAGGCAATGCTCAGGTCTGGTAAGCTGATCTTCTTCTAACTCCACACGCCATTATTTCAAAGTAAGTTGCCCTTAAGGAGCTTTCAAAAAGCCATATTATGTCCTTTTTACTGCAACACTCTGATGAGTCTTCAATGTCATTCCCAAAACTCTACCATTTGGAATTTGGTGTGTCCTTGTTGGAAGGTCAAAGCCTTGATGGCAAATATCAACTCTAAACATATCCTTCACCCATATTCATTCCTAGATAATTTACTGACTGATTTTGTGTAGTGGTGTTGGAACTCTAAGGGGTGTTTGAGCATAAGGTCATAACATTAGTTCCCTCAACCAACAAGAAAAGGCAGGAAAAATAAAAAAGTTGGGTTCTAACTTTTTTAATAGCTTTTAATACAAAACCCTTGAGTAAGGCAGGGCAGTTTGCTACCACTATCAAAAAACTTGAACTGTTTAAAAAAAAAAAAAATCTTAATCCTGTGCCTTTTTGATTAGTCAGTTGTAAATCACTGGTACCTTTCACATGTGGTCTCCTGCACTGAGAGCGAATAGGGAAGTCTGCCTAATGTGGCCCCCAGATGTTCATTTGAAGGCTCATTTGCTGTTGATGTTGTATTAACACAAGTGTTTTAGAAGACTGACCCAACAATGATTTATTATCTCTGGGGAATTCCAGGAAGTTGTGGTGAACATGTGATTGAAGTGGAACATTTTTAGCTTCCCCAGTTCACTGGACACTGTTACCCAGTCAGAGGTCAGGCAAAAAACGATGTCAAAAACTGTTTTGGGATGGCTTTGATGCCATAGCTTTGATTTCTTATTGATATTGTCTTTGTTAATTGGAATGACCAATGTTGTTTCACTTTATTCATGTTTACCTACTGTCCAGCGGCTTATTTAGTCCAAGCGGGGCCATAAATCTCACAGTAAATCATACGGAAAAGAAACACTAATGGAGTCTTTGAACCACAGCACAGTCCTGCCTCTGGACCACCTCCATCCTCCTTCACTGTTTCCTCCAGGTGTCCATCACACAAAGAGCTGCTCTGTGAGTCAAACCATACGCAGCTATAACCCTCACAAAATGAAACTCTTTGTCCAGTATGTTTTTGGTGCATTAAAAAAAGAAAAAACTTCAAATAAATAAATAAAGAATCCCTCTAAAATGCACTGCTTGTTAAATTCAGGAGGCTAAGTTTCCTGTGGAGAAAAAACACCATTAAGAAAACATCCACAGTGAATCACAGTAGCAATCTGCCCTTTTTGATCAAGTGTGGATTTAACCTTTACAAATATGTTTTGTTGTTGCTGATGATTGGTGCTGCAAACACTCTGTGCTTCCCTCCCCTGACCAACTGACAGCTCAATGCTGAATTCCAGTGGAAAAATTCAACAGTATCTGAAAAAGGTTTCACCAAAACTTGCATTTTCAAAAATGTTGTTGAACTTGACAGAAAATACGAGAACCATCTTTGATACATTACACTTACACTTTTGACTCCTAACTTAGGCTGGTTTTATGCAGTGGACAAGCTGATTTAAGCACGCTGAGATGCAGACAGTTTTATCTAACAGAGCCATTTGTATTTGGTGTCATTGATGTATAAACTGAATCAATTTTATTTTCAATTTAAAGCTCAGCAGCTCTGATGTTTGAAACTAATCTGCTCATGTAAAACTCAAAGTAGCATTCAGTCATATTTTAAGATCTTGTTGGGTTGAATTCAAAACAGAAAACACAACATTTTATTGTATATTGTTCAGAGACCAAATAAAATGAAAAATACTTTTCAAATTTCAATGGTATCTTTACAATCCAAAACAGAAGCCAACGTGAAGGCCACTCAGAGCGAGGAGACCTAAGGCTGTCTCCATAAGTGAAACATAATATGTCCCTGGCCCGCAGTGTTTCCCCTATATACAAATAGTGGCGGCGCAGCGCCGCTGCTGAAATATGAGCGCCGCTGCTAGGGGGCGCCAGCCAGGTACCAAAAAAAAAAATAATAATAATAAGTGGTGACCCTTTTTCATTTTTGATTGTTTGTTATGTGGATTTGTAGTATTTGTGTTACTGTATGTTCAACAAAGGTGTATTTTTGCTAAATCTTGAGACACTGCCACTGTATGTACTAGGCAG